AAGAGGCCTGTTTATTAAGTAGTTAGGTTCAAGCAACTTAATAACTGTTTAGCTCAAATAACTTAGTAGGTTTTTCAAAACTAGTATATAGAAATCAGAGAAAAATGAATATACTTGTATTTCATTCTTAAATAACCACAATTCCTTACTGGTAGGACTTGTGTGCCTGTTGCACGCTGTACAACTTCTCAGACCTTGCACACAAATTGACAGTGCCCCTCGTATCCTGCTCCACATTGATTTTTGCATAGGATTTACTTTTTATTACAGCAACTGCTGAAAACCCAGTTTTGCAAAAAATGTGACATCATCAAAAGGTGATTTAATATTGAAACCATGAATTGTCAAAGACTGTTATTTTCTGCAGCATTGGACAGATGTCAAATATTACTGTGTTCCCTCAAATTTAAAATATCCCTTGGTGCCCTTGGGAATTTAATGCTTTGTTCTGGGGTGTTTGGGAACCTAGGATATAGCAAGCTCTCATGTACTACCTTATAGCTGCTATTCTAGTTATTGTTTTTGTGTTGTCATAGTGATTAATAATGTTTATTAAATTCTCTGATTCCAGACTTGATAATTACTTGGTGATTTTTATTTTTGTTTCCGGTATGCTCTGTTAACGAAGAGTTTACATTAAAGGCAGACTGTCCCTGACTTACGATTTTTTGACATTATGATAGTGTGAAAGTGACACGCATTCAGTAGAAACTGCACTTTGAATTCTCAATTTTAATCTTTTTTTTTGGGCTAGGGACATGCAGTAAGATACTCTCTTGTGATGCTGGGCATTGGCAGCGAGCTGCAGCTGCCAGTCAGCGATCACAGGGGTAAACAACAGATATTCTGCAGTGTATTTATTCATTGTGTTAGATGATTTTGCCCAACTGTAGGCTAATATAAGTGTTCTGAGCACATTTAAGGTAGGCTAGGCTAAGCTATGATGTTAGTAGGTTTGGTGTATTAAATGCATTTCAACTTACAATGTTTTCAACTTAACAGTGGGTTTATCAGAACATAACACTGTCGTAAATTGAGGAGCATCTGTATAACATGTGTGAATAATTCAATCTCTTATTTGTCAGTTAAAATCATGGAGTTCGAAATTTCAAGTGTTTTATATTTATCATGTTTTCTGTTTTAGTATCTCGCTAGTAACAGATGTGGCAAACATGTGGACACCGGAGTCATAGCATCTGATTTACAAAGAATGTACAGGTAAAGAAATGTAGTCTCTAGATTGTTGGTTTTCTTTCCTACCATTTTTAAAGTTTCCATCCTGTCTGAATTTCCAATTGAATAAATAGCTGCTGGCATTAGTTCACCAGTCCCTAAGTCCAGATTGCAGTTCAATTATACAGACATTTACCAAGCACCTGTTATATGCAAGAAGCTGTCCTTGTTATTAAGGGGAATGCATAGCTATGTCTTCTCTTTCAGTACCTTATAGGCTGGTCAGGAGTATTACTTCTTTTCCGGCTTCATTAAAAAATTAAAACCATCAAGTATGATCTCCCTCAGCTTCATGACTCGATCTAGAAAGCTGTCACTCATTTAGTCTTCCCACTGAAGATTAAATTCTTCTCTTGAGCTAATCCCACCTCTTTTAATACCTTGCTTCATTAATTACCCCTACATTGTCTATTTAAGAGTCTCTGTTTTCTTCCCCTTAGACTACATATTAGTTTGCTAGGACTGTCATAAAAAAGTATCCCAGACTGGGTGACTTCAACAACATAAACTTAGCTCCTCACAGTTGTGGAGTCTAGAAGCCCAAGGTCAAGGCTTTGGCAGGATTGGTTTCTTTTGAGGTCTCTCCTTCGCATATAGATGGCCGTCTTCTTCCTGTGTCTTCTTCACATGGTCTTTCCTCTGCGGGTGTCTGTATCCTAGGCTCCTGTTCTTGTAAAGATGCCAGCCATATTGGATTAGCGCTCACCCATATGACCTCATTTTATCTCAATTACGTCTCTAAAGGGGTCCTGTTTCTAAGTACAGTCACATTCTGAGGTACTAAGGGTTAGAATGTTAATGTGCATTTTCAAGGGACACAATTCAGCTCATAACACTCTGCCTTTTTGTCCCCCCAAATTCGTGTTCTTCTCACTTCCAAAGACACTTGCTCTATCCTGGCAGCTCCAGAAGTCTTAACCCATTTCAGTGTGAAGTCGAAATCCAAAACTACATCTAAATCTCATCTAACCCAGGTATGGGTGTAACTGGAGCTATGATTCATCCTGAGGCAAAATTTCTCTCCGGCTGCAAACCTGTGAAACCAGACCAGTTATCTGCTCCCAAAATACAATGGTGAGACAGGCATAGGATAGGCATTCTCATTCCAAAAGGGGACATCGGAAAGAAGAGAAGGTTCATGGTCTCAAGCAAACCTGCAACCTAGCAGGGCAGATTCCACTAGACTTTCAGAATAACCTTCTTTGGCTCCGTGCTCTGCCCAATGGGCTCGGTGGCATGGTTGCTAGGCCTGATAGAGATAAGGGGCAACCACTCAGGCTTGCGACCCCTGGGCCCCCTGGATCAGTGTCGCAGCTGCGACACCCAGCGCCCCCCACAGACATATTCCTCCCTTTTTTATAAGAGTAATGCGTTCTCCCAAGTAAAACGCTTTTGTCCTCTGCCCTGGAATATCCCAAATCTCAAACCGTTTTGCCTTTTTATATCCCTCTGCCCCCCCTGCTACAAGATGCCAGAGTGTTTGAGACGATATCACCACATCTCTTGTATATAAAAATTACTCGTGTAAAAATAAAAACACGGGGTGGCCTGAGAGAGTGTTGCGCAGATCACCACGAGGTCGCCTGTGAGATCTCCACAGGGCACTGTGTGATCTGCCCCCCCTATAAAAAACAAAACAAAACACCAAAGTTGCTTGAAAATAGGTTTATGGTCAATAGGAATACAGTGACATAATTATATATTGATGCAAATTTATGAGATTAAATTGAGCTTAGTGGGAAAATACTGGGGGAGACTCTCGACGGTGCTAAACTTCTGTTATGTTTTTCAGTGTAGACTATGGTCGAAGAAAAAGAAATGCTTTTAGGATTCAGGTAGAAAAAGGTGAGTCTTAGTGCTAGAGCTCAATAATTAATAAAGTTATATAGAAAGAATTGTTTTAGCTCATGACCTTTTTCTTTTTGTTTCAGTATTTAGCATAATTACTAGTGAGAAAGAACATAAGGATCTAACAGAATTAGAAGATGAGCATCTGGCAAAAAGAGCAAGACAAGGTGAAGAGGATAATGAGTAAGGATTACAAGATGAAGGGTTTTTCTCCTAACACATGACACCTACTTGTAAAACTTGCAGTGTCTCCTCATTGCCAGTGAGGCCCTGCATAATGCTTACCTAACTTCTCCATAATGCTTACCTTAACTTGAGGCACACTGAATGCTCACTGTTATCTAAAGGTCAAGTTCTTTCTTTGTGCCTTTGTATGGGTAGTTTCTGTAGCTGGAGTGTTCACTCCTCTTTCACGAACTCCCACTCAGCCTTCAAGCATCAGCCTTCAAAAGGCTGTGTTACTTACTGCCTTTTTTCAGACTGTCTTAGACTCTTTTCGTAGTGTTTCCTTAACTCCTAGTTATAGCTATATAAGATAATGCTTATCACATCTGGCATTGAGATTATTTGTTTACTTGTTTGCATTACCAACAGAACTGTTCCATTATCTTTGTTTTTTTCCTACCAGATACATAAAAAGGTGCCAGTTAATTTTGTTAAGAAATATTATCAAGTTTTTTATAACTTTATTGCAGGATAATTGGCATACAATAAGCTGTACATTTTTAAAATGTATAACTTGTTGACTTTTGACATACGTATATGCTCATTAAACCATCACCATAAGCAAGATACTGAACGTTCTCATCAACCCCACAAGTTTTCTTGTGCCCCTTTGCATTTTATTTCTTCCTCCTCCCCCATTCCCAGACAGCCATTGGTTTGCTTTCTATCACTATATGTTTGCATTTTCAAGAATTTTGTATAAATGGAATACAGTGAATACTTTAAAAATCTGGATTCTTTCACTTAGCATAATGATGATTTTGAGATTTATCAGTGTTGTGTAGTTTATTGCTTTTTATTGCTGAGTATATATGGATATACCACGATTTTTTTAATCATTTATCTGTTGTTGGACTGAGTTGTTTCCACTTTGGGGCTGTTACAAAGAAAGCTGCTATGAACACTTATATCCAAGAATTTAAGTAGAGCATGTTTTCATTTTTTTTGTTTTTTTTTGTGAAGAATGTAGGAGTAGAATAGCGGAGTTATATGGTAATCACAGATTTAACTGTAAAAGAAACTGCCAAACTGTTTTCTAGAGTGTTTGTACCATTTAACCTTTCTTTACATTAGCAGTATGTGAGATTTCCATTCGTTCTACATATTACCAACACTTGGTATGGTCAGTCTTTAATTCACCATAAGTAGGATGTTAGCTGTGAGTTGTTTTTTATAGAGGCCCTTTATCAGATTAGGGAAATTTCCTAACAATGCTAGTTTGGTGAGAGTTTTTATCATGAATAGGTATTACATTTGTCAAATGCTTTTTATGTACTTTTGGAAAAGATTTTATTATGGCTTTCACCTTTTATTAATTTGGTGAATTACATTAATTTTTGAGTGTTAAGCCAATCTTTCTATCCTGGGATAAACCCTACTTGGTCCTGAGATATTATCCTTTTTATATATTGTTGAACTCTGTTTGCTAATCTTTTTTTATATATGTTTATGTCTATATTCATATTGGTCTGAATTTTTTCTTGTTTTTCAATGTCTGTCAGATTTTGGTATTAAGGTTATAATAACCTCATAATATTAGTGGGAAAGTCTGTATTTTACAAAAAATGTTTGTGAAATGTTACTGTTATTTCTTTCTTGAATGTTTGTTAGAATTCGACCAGAATTCATCTAGGCCTGGAGTCATCTTTTTGGAAAAGATTTTAATAACATTTAATTTTGCTAGATACAGGGGTCTTCCTATTTTCTTTTTCTCCTTAGGTCAATGTTGGTAAATTGTACTTTTAAAGAAATTTGTCCAGGGGCCCTCCGAGTGGCTCAGTTGGTTGAGTTCGCTCAAGAGTGCAAGCTCTGAGCAACAAAATCGCCGGTTGGATTCCCAGCCCGAGATGAGCTGCCGCTGAGCTGCCAACAGGTGGCAGGATGGCTCAGCTTAAAAAAAAAAAAAAATTTGTCCACTTTATCTAAGGTGTGAAATTTGTCGGCATAAAGTTTTAAAAATATTCTCTTATTTTTCTTTTAATGTCTGTAGGATCTGTGGTGATAGCGCCTTTACATTCTTTATAGCTGCTTCTTTTTCATTTAGATTTACCATAATTTTCTTAACTAGCTCTATATTCATGGACATTTGGTTGTTTCCAGTTTTGCACTATTGTATGTGTAATAAGTAATTCTTCAGTGCACATATCTTTGTACACATTTCTTTGTTGTTGTTTTTTATGTTAAAATCCTTTAGTGGTGTTTCTGGGGTCAGAGAGTTTTATATTTTTGAGTCCAAAAAACGTTGCCTCAATTTATACTCCCAACAGCTTTGTATAAAGAGTGCACTTCTCTGTACCCTTGCAATCCTAGTTATACTATTATTTCATCTTTGCCAGTTTTATAGGCAAAAATTGATCTATTTTGTTTTCACTTATAATTTTTTAATAACTAGTGAGGTTAAATTTTTTTTTACTGTTTCATGTTTCCTTTGTTAATTGTCTGCTTATGGGTTTTGTCTTTAATTTGAGAGATATTTGAATTTTCTGTATTAGTTGTCAGAACTCTTTGTATAAAATAGCACCTTTTTTTTATGTATTGCAAATACATATCCCATTTTGCCGTTTGCCTTTTTGTTTATAATGTCCTTTGATTAGAGAGGTGCTGCATCTTTACCTGTTCAAATCTATCAGTCTTTGCCTTTATGGTTTATGTGATATGCTTTGAAAAACCTCTGTCAGAAAAGTATATAGAATAATTACCTATACTTTTTTCTTGTTCTATAGTATTACATTTAACTCTTGAATCCACCTATAACTAATTTTGTTTGTAGGGCAAAACAAATTTTTTCCAAATAGTTGAATAAACTACCTTCTTTGCATTGAAAAGAAATGTCTCAACTTATATTAATTGAGTTTAATGAACAGAAGAATTCTGCTATTAAATAGGAGCAGAGTCCTATAGTTACTTGAAGCCGCTACACATCAACTCTTTGTTATAATGAACAGAGACTACATTATCAGTTTATAGTTGTTAGGATTTATACTTGTTTTTTGCTGTATTATATGAAAAACTCTTTGTACTTTTTTCCTCATGAACAGACTTAGAAAAGTTACATTTGGTCACTTGGCTTGGTCATATTGAACTTGTGGATTTGTTACTTAAAGTGCTTGCTGGAATAGTTCCTCTCCTGGCATCTGATATCCCTAAATGAGACCCTTAGCCTGATGGGAATGTGCATTTTACTTTTATTTATTGCTAGGCTAATGATAACAATTTATTAAGCATTTACTATGTACTTACGACTTTGCAAGCTTCCATTTCATTCTCTAATAATCCATTGAGATACACATTATTTATTATCTCCATTTTATAGATAAGGAAACTGAGGCTCAGGGGTTGAATAGAAGCTAGTAAGCTGGATTTTGATTTCTCTGATTCCAAAACCTGAACTCTTAGCAACCATAATATTCTGCCTCAGTATATTTTCTTGTTTTGGGTAGTAATTTTTTTAGGATGTGGGAGAAAAGCCTTTAAAATGTTTCTTTTCCTCTCTTTACTAAGGTATACTGAAAGCTATTCAGATGATGATTCAAATATGGAAGATTACCCAGATCCACAGGTAAGCTAATCATTTAATGGACCCGCTGTGATTTTTGTTTTAAGTGATTATGAACCTTTAGAAAAAAATAATGTGGAATAGAATAAGAGACTTTGAACATCTTCATCAATAAATAATTGAAAACTTCTTGTGTGCAGTGCTGATGAACTCTTGGGTTAGCCATCCTTCCAGTAATTTTGTTTATAACCTATTATACCGGGGGGGGGGGGGGGGGAAGGGAAGAGAATGACCAGAAACAAGGGAGGAGAATGGCCAGACATGAATAGAAAAGGGAATTAATAGTACAAACGGAGAAAAGGATACATTTTTCTGTCAAAGAGCTGGTATTGCCAATAGACAGGCTTGGATTAAAGGGAAGTTTGGGAATAGTACATCAAATTATTTGTAATTTACTCTCCATTTTTTCCTCACTGGTAATTGAGTTTTTGAATTTATTAACCAAGTCATGATGATACTAAGTTATATGTGATCCAGTTTTAAATTGATGGGTTAGTCATGACTCTGATTGACTACCTGCTCGTTTGCATACTTGCTTCTGTTGTATCCTTGAAAAGTGGCCATTCTTACTTGGTTTTATTTAGCCGCCAATTATGAATTGGTACATTAACGTGGTATAGCTTTTTGGATAGTAAATGTTTGTTTGTGAATCATTTTATTGTGAACACCTAAATTTTCTGACTGTAAGTGTTATGAGAGAAGTTGTTGAAAATGAAATGTAGGACACTTATTAATATAGGTAATCAAACTTTCATGAGTACCTATTGAGTAATTTATGCTAAAATCATGTTTCCGCCAGTCAGCAAATCATATGAACACTTCCCTGCTCTCCTTATATCGGAAAGGAAATCCTGATTCTGTCTCCAGTACCCCTGAGATGGAGCAAAGAGAAACTGCTGTTTCAGTACCACCGATAACTTCCCAAACAGGCTCCATTGCTTCGAAGACCCCTGCCAGAGGTTCTGAAGGAGGATGGTTTATTGACAAAACTCCAGGTGGAAAGAAAGACAGTTTTTTCTTGGACCTGTCAGATGAGAAAAGTGATCATAAGAAGCCAATATCTGAGATAGAGGTATTTTTGTAGTGAAATTTTAGCCCCATGTAATTAGAGTGCATTATAGCCTTTTCATTGACTATAATATCAAGCAGATTCTTGTGTCATGTAAATGACATAGGAACTTTAAAATACATGGAGAATTTGATCACTTCTCACTGCCACCATCATTTCCATTCTAGTCCACGCCTCTACTCTTTGTCGCTTAACTACTGAAATAACCTTTCAATTGGAGTGTGCTTCCATCCTTACTCCTATAGTTTATTCTTCTCACATAGATATCTTTGTACAAGTTAAGTCAGATCATTGTAATTCTTATCTTAAAAACCCTCTAGGTCAGCGGTTCTCAATCTTCCTAATGCNCGGGGGTCCTAAAGGATACGTTAATTTCCATCCTCTAGGGGTCAGGTTGGGACACGGTAAAAACAAGTAGTATGGCTCTAACTTTATTATAATAGGCACTTTACCTAAGGTTTTTTTCATGTTCATAAGCACCACTAGAAAGCAGTGTGTGGGAAATGGCTCGGAATGGTACCATCAGCAAGCAATCTTATTTAGAAGGAGGGAAAGTTTTATTTTCCTTTACATTAGACTTTGGGAGCTGTATACTTTTTTTTTTTAAGTTTATTGGGGAACAGTGTGGTTTTTACCAGGACCCATCAGATGCAAGTCAAGTCATTGTTTTCAGCCTAGTTGTGGAGGGTGCAGATCACTCGCCCATGTGGGAATCGAACCGGCAGCCCCAGTGCCAAGAGGTGTGCTCTAACCTACTGAGCTAACTGGCTGCCCTTGGAGCTATATACTTTTCTTGTTTTTCATTTACCTTACCTGCCACTAAACAAAATCTTTTTGGAACCGTCTCTTCCTGCCAGTTTTTGGAAGTGCCCTGAGCCTGTCGTAATCCTCATACTCCTCTCTTGCTTGTATATATCCACACTAGGTGGTCTCATCCAGTCTAATGCCTTTAAATACTATCTATTCATGATTTCTAGATTTATATCTCCAGTGCAGATTTGATCTTGAATTCCAGATTGATCTATCCAACTGTGTACTCAACATCTCTTGAGTGTCTCGACTACCAACTCACGTGAAACCAACAATCCTTGGGTATCTTCAGCTGAACATGTGCAAACTGAACTTTGGATATTCTCCTCCAAGCCTATCTTTCTTAGTGTTCTCTATTTCAGTAAATAACATCACTGTCCATCCATTTGTTAAAGGCAAAAACCGTAAGAATCATTCTGACTCCTTTCTTCTGCTTCCTGCAACCCATTAACAGCAATCTATTTGGCTTTACTCTCAAAGTATACTCCATACCCATCCACTTTTTGCCATCTACTTCTCCAGCTGTCCTAGTCCCAGCCACCATCTCTTTATTAGTCTATTGCAGTGGCCTCCTAACAGATACCCCTGACTCTAGTTTTACCTGAAGTCTGTTCCCCAGGCAGCAGCGAGAGAGATCCTTTTAAAGGGAAAATTGGAGTTTGCCGGGGCCCTGCTCAAAACCCTTCAGTGGCCTCTCAAGGTTTCTGGAGTAAAACCCACTCTAAAAAGCCCTACATATTTTGGCCCCTGTCTACTTTTTTGTCTTTTTGCCTTTTTTCCTTTTTTTCTCTCGGCCTTGCTTGCATGACCTTCTCAAAACGTGCCAAGCACAGGACTTCTGCTCTTGCAGTTCACTCTCTCTGAATTACTCTAGATGTTCCCACAGCTTGTTGCTTCCCTTTATTCAGGTCTCTGAGCAGGGATTCTTGAGAAGAAATTGCTCTGTCAGGGGGAGCTCTGGACTGGATAACTAGCACGTATTGAAACATGGAAGTTGATAATTAGTCATGCCAGGTCTGAAACTTGGCCCAATAACTTATGTGCTTCTGGGCAAGTAATTAACCGGGTTGTTTTTTTGTTTGTTTGTTTTTAATTGGGGAGTTTGGGGGAGGGAAACAGTGTTGGGGAATTGGGGAGGGGAANAATAGGTCAACTTCTTTTCTGCGTTAGGGTCTTTAAACACTTTCTCTACCTAAAACTGTCTTCCAATACAACCAATTCCTGTTATCCTTAAGGTCCTTCCTTACATGTCACATTCTCAGAAAGTCTTTCCCTGACCACTCAGACAGAGGTAGGCTCCCTTTGTTATTCTCTATCACTGGACCCTGATTATTTACTGTATTCATTTACTTAGCTATTATTCACTGAAAACCTTCTATATGAAAGGTATTCTTTCAAGGGCTATGAAATCCTCATTCTTTCTCATTATTACAATTATGTAGTTATTGTTTTGCGAGTCCATTGCCTGTCCCTCTCATTAGAACATAAGTTCCAAGACCATATCTGTTTAAACACCACTGTAGTCTCTGACTTGAGCATAGTAACTGGCATATAGTATACCATAAACATTTGTAGATTGAATGCATAACTGTCAGATCAATACATTTTTTTTTCATCCTATTCAAGATTAGGTACATGAATGAAGCAATTACCTCTAAGGAAGACAAAGTTTATTAAAAAATTGAATTATTGCCTTTACCAAATAAAATAAATCAAGGATTTGTTTTTTCTTTCTTAACTTCGGAAAACACGGACACAGGCTCAGTGTCCAGCTCCCAGCTAGCAGGCAAAGGCCCTTTTGAAGCACAGTAAGGAACCTCTGCCATGCACTCTCTCACCTTTTTCTCCATGTTCCTATTATACATAGGGTGACCATATAACTTATTGTCCAAACTGGAACCTTTTTAAGAGACAAAGGTGAGAAACTGAATATACAAATGAGCAATGGCCAGATTATATATATATATATAAACAGAACTCTTACTTATAATCTGCAGAAACCAGCCCAAGAAGCCAGTCTGCTATTACCGGTCAGACCTATGGGAAATCAGACCACTATCTCTAGCAAACAATCCAGGAAGCCAAACAATAAACTCTGTAACAATTGGCCTGAAATGGCCAGGGACTCCATTAATAAGTGACAGCTTCTCTACCGTTTGTCCCTGTTCTTCCAACTTAGGACCAACCAGAGAAAGCCAAATATGCTCCCCTAACTAGTCACATAGGATGCCCTGCTTCTAGTTAACCCACCTACAGCTTCCCCATGCCAACAGCCTTCAATTCAGGGCATCTCTGAAGCCTTCCCTTTGTTAGTTATTAAGCTTTCCCATTTCTCTGCCTGTCTTTGAGTCTGTGCTAAAATGCAAGTGATTGTGGCTAACTCCCTTGCTATTGCAAGCTCGGAATAGCCCCTGCCTATTTTCATTTAGGTAATTTTCTTTAATTTCCATAAAGAGGATACTATTAATAATTATGCTGGATCAAGAGGCAAAAAATTGGGATTGTCCTGAGTAAATCAGGACATAGGTCACTCTAACTACAAACACAATTAGACAAGAGGCTAGTGAGATACAAAAGTTTAGAAGGGCAAAGGTGTGAGGAACAGAAGGTGAAATGTGCCACTGCCACTAGGTGGAGTTGCAACATTAAAGAATGGAGGACATTTTTATTACTGCAGGAAGTTCTCCAGATGTATATGCACTTATGTTACTATCCAGTAGTCTTTTTGGTTTAGATGTGTGGTACTGTGAATTCTGAACACTGTAAAATTTTACACTCATGTGAAATTGTCTTCGGAGCAATAATTACTGGAAATAACCAACGGAAAAATGGTCAAGCATACCATTATGGGTATCTAGTATTAACAATTATTGCCCACTGCACCTGATACAGACAAGAGGTGAAAAACACACTCCTTGTCCTTAAAAAGGTGCCCTCCTAGAGGACTTCAGGTCTGTATGGGTTACATAATTTGCAGGGCCCAGTGCAAACTTAAAATAAGGGACGACTTGTTGAAAAAGTACTATTAAAAATTTCAAGATGGCAACAGCAGCACATTAAACCAAGTGCGTGGGGCCCTTCTGAGCACAAAGCCCTTTGCGACTGCGCACCCATGAAGCCAACCCTGAACGTAGAATAGTATTCTATGAGAAATTAGACCAATAAACTGTGCTGCTTGGTGTATGTTGTGATGCTGCTGGGCCCTTCAACCTATTTTCATTCTTTGTGGGACATTTGGCATGCGTGGCATTAAATTTCATTTAAAAAAGTTACTGGGCATCAACTATATTTGTGCTATTTGCTGTAGGGAGTCTTTAGTCAAGTTTAATAAAATTAAGCGCCTAAATATTTAATCTAATAAAAAAGATGTTCTAAAAAGTTACAATTATATATATATATTTTTGCTTTTCCCCATAATACCCAAAGGCAGGGCAGGGACTGAAACTGCTAGGCACTCAATAAATACTTGTTGAATGAATGACAAGAGGGTTCAGTGGGTGGAGATTTTGACAAAGGAAAAATATTCAGGAAAGGCTGCAAGAAGGATGATTAACTAGGATTCTGGCCGGGAAGGGCATTGTACACAAGAGGAAATGTCAGTGAAAGCAAAGTGCTGTGTATAATTCATTTGTTTATTATCATTACCTTTCAATAGAACTGTAAGCCCCACAAAAGCTGGAATCTTTCCTGTTTCTTCATAGCTGTACCCAGTGCCTGTGAAATAGTAAGCCTTCAATAAATATTCATTAACTGAGTAAGTGCAGGCAATGCTACTTAGCTAAAAGCGGAGTACATATATAGTAAACAAGGAGATGAAGTTGGAGCCAAGCTGACCACTGTTTTGAATGTCAGAATGAGAATCTATACTTTATTCAGTGTTCAGATAAGAACCATTGAAAAGAGCAGTGATACAGTCTGAACTCTCAATTGAAAATGTCAGTAATATCCTGAGTAAGAAGATAGTTNTGGCTAGTGCAAATGAGGCACTGAATTTTAAATTTACATTTAAAAACTAATAGTTCAGTTACTAGAAAATTTCTAAGTATGTTTGGAACAACTTGAGTAAGCGAATCTACTTTTTCAGCTGTAAATTTTATGAAATCAAAGTACAAATCATTTCCCATGAAAATTCAGTGTCCAAATTGATTTGTGCTATAAGCACGAAGTATACATTGGTCTGTGAAGACTTACCACAAAAAAATAATATAAAACATCTCATTAATAATCTTTTTTTTTTACTGACTGCTGAAATGATAACACTTCGAATATATTTGTGAAATAGATTATTAAATTAATTTCACTTTTTTCCTGTTTTAGATGAGGCTACGAGAATATATAAAATTACATATGTGGACAGTGCTGCTCTAAGTGGTTTCCAAGAACTAGGCCTTTTGATTGGCAAAGCCTTACCCCTGTTGAATTATTAATGGGCCTTTTACATATCTTTTTCTTCTTTAGTCAGGTGTCTTTAAATAACATTATTACGGTTGGCAAGGTCAAGGAAAGAGCTTGACTCTTATGTTGAATTGTGCATTTTTATGGCTGTCACAGCAGCCCTAGGGTCATATTTAATTTAGTGATTCACCAGACATGAGATGAGCACCAACTACGTGAAAGGGTCAGTGAGAAATAAAAGATGGATGTTAATGTCCTAACACCAGAAGCCCACGATTCAGTGAGAGTGACATAGAGGAATCCCTCAAACACAAGGCAGGTTATGATAGGCTATTATGCAGCTGCAAATTTAGTGTTCTGGGGATGTGAGGAAGAGGTTATTTTAACTAGAAGAACCTGGTTTCCAAAGGAAGTTTTCAAATGTTGGGACAAATGTTGGGCTCTATGTCTATGGGAAAGAAGGACATCCTTGAGCCAAGGACGTTGGGAATAGCTAGCAGGTGGAAGGACTAGGGCACGACTGGTTTTTCTAATGCCCATCTGTGAGAAAATTGGCATGATAATTTCAAGCATGGCACATTTAAATTTCTTTCCAGGATTCAAAAGAGTCTTCTCTTCTGGAGAGTAATAAAAAAAGGAAAGGCAGTTTAAAGAGCAAAGGAAACAAAAGGAAGAAAGAAGATCTGCGGGAAGTGGATGGAGAAATAGAAGCTGTCCTGCAAGAGAAAGGTGAGATGCAGGTCTGAGGGTGGTGGAGGCCATGTCTCCTTCGAGAAAGGCGCCGCTCTTCCAAGCTGTTTACTTGAGGGGCCGTCTGTGTGCAGAGACATTTATTGGGAAATATTTCAGTATCTACTGGACCTTTGTTTACGTAAGGATTATTAAATATAATTCTGAGTTACTACTGAATCACTCATCTTTCACCTACGTTTTTGTTTGCCAGCTAAAGCCAGGGGCCTAGAATTCCAGATCTCCAGCGTGAAGTTTGAAGATGTCGGAGGCAATGATACAACATTAAAGGTTATTCGCATTCAGAATTTCACCTCCAGTGGGTATATTGCTAATTAGTTATGCAAACCAAGCCCACCCCTCTGTTTCTAATAAGAACTGGGAGTAGAGAAGGAAGCTGGGAAGGTGAGAAGGGCAAACGTGACTTATACCCTTCAGGGTACTGAGGGATAAAAGAAGCATAATTAGTATCTTCATCTTTGTCACCACTTCAATTATAGTGTACATAAAATAGATAAGCATGATATGGGGGTGGGAGGGCAGTGGATGGGGGGAGGGGGTT